GACATTTGTGAAGTTTTGCTTTGTTTATTTTATTTATTTATTTTTATTATTTTTTTTTAATTATTTTATTTGGATGGTTTTTCTTCTTTATTTTTTGTTGGTTTCTTTTATGCCTCCTCGCCCCCCCGGCCCCCTCCCCTGCCTTGCCCTCCATTGTCGCTCTGTGCCGTTTTTTCCTCGTTTCTGGATTTGTTTTAAGCCGAAAGCCATACTATTGATAAAAACTACACGTATCAGAACATATATCTCTATATATGTGCATGCCTCTGTGTGAGCAGACCCCATCACCTCCAGCCCTCTTTGGTTCGACCCTTTCCCCTCGGCTCAGTCTGATTTACTCTCCCCCACTGCCCCACCTTCCCTCCTCTCATCTTTTCTTTTTTATTATTATTTTTCCCCCATTTTCCTTCCTTCGTTTGGGTTTTATCCCCCTTTTCCCTTCCCCTTTCTTGGTCGGGGCGGGCGGGCACCAGGGTTTGCTTTCTCCCCTCTCCAGGTGGTTTTTGGGGTGGGGGGGGTGTGTTTGTTTCTTTCCCTTCAAGCTCTCCCTCCCCGACGACTTGGGGCTTTCTTGGATTTGTTTATTTTCCTCCCATCCCACCCCTTCCTTTGGGTTTTTATTACGATTTAAGTTGAGTTATATTTTTTTGGCGTTTTGCATGCGGAGGTTTGCATGACCCACGTTGTTGAGGGCGAGGAAGGTGCAGAGTAGCGTCTGTGTAGCCTGCCTTATGCGATGTGCATTGACGTTGTGATCTGCGCCCCCGGCCCGGCGCCCCCCGTTAAAATCCCCTTTCTCCTTCTTTCTTCTCTTCTTCCTCCCCTTCCTCCTCTCCCTCCTTCTCTGTCTCTCTCTCCCCCCCTGCCAGAGGCCGGCCTCGGCGTCCCCCTCTCCGCGGGCTCACGGCAGGACGGAGCCGCCGTCCCCCCGCTCCCGGGGGAGCCGACACGGCGCCCGCAGCCCCCGCTCGCCCACGCCGGAGCGGGCCAAGCACGGCCACCGGCACCGCTCCCGCAGCGCCTCGCCGCCGTCCCGACACCGCGGCCAGAGCAAGGGGCGGCCCCCGGCGCCCCGGGAGCCGCCGCCGCCGCCGCTCAGCCCCGCCGGCTACAGCAGCGACTCGGAGGGCTCGGCCGGCTCCCACCCGTACCACCCGCCGGCCGGCCCCGACAGGAACCACGGAGCGCACGGCAAGAAGTAAGGGAGTGCCCCGGATGGGATCCTGTCATCCCTGCCGGGATATGGGAGCTGGGCTCGGATGTTTGGCGTGCGGCTCCCTGCGGGCACCTTAAATCCATGCAGGCAAAGCCCTGGGGGCTAAGCTGGGGAGCGGGGCTGGGTTGGGATGCTCAAGGGATGGGAGTGGGAATAGGGATGGAAAGGGACAGGAATGGGGGTGGCAATGAGGGCGAGTTGGAGATGGGAATGGGGATGGGGACAGACCCTGTAGACCTCCTGCACGATGGGATGGTGATAGGGAAGGGATGGGCTTGGGGATAGGGATGGGGATAGGGAAGAGCCGCAGTGGGTCAATGGTAGCACACTGTGGGAAGGGACCCTGTAGACCTCCTGCACCATGGGATGGTGATAGGGAAGGGATGGGCTTGGGGATAAGGAAGAGCCACAGTGGGTCAATGGTAGCACACTGTGGGAAGGGTCATCCCTGCGAGGGATTATCCCACTGCGAACGGCAGTGCCGGGATGGCAGCAGGGGATCACAGCACCCCACAGGATGCGGGATGCCAAGCAAATGGAAGCCCTGTGCTTTACAGTCAGGGATATAGTCCAGTCAAAAACTGGTGTCATGGAGGTGTTCCTTATGGGAACCTGGGGTCCCTGGCTGCTGTGGGAACCTGGGGACCCCTGCCAGCCAGGACGGGGTGCGAGGCGGTGCTGCCTTCGCAGGGTGAAGGAGACATCCTGCCAGCCAGGACGGGGTGCGAGGCGGTGCTGGCATCTGCCTTCGCAGGGTGAAGGAGCGGCACCACCGGGGCCGGCCCAACAGCAGCTCGGAGTCGTCAGCCAAGCACTCCCGGCACGCCTCGGAGCGGAGGAAGAGCCCGTCCCCCAGCCCGGGCCAGCGCAGCAGCTCCTGGAGCTCCAGCGGCTCCCTCTCCAAGTCCCGCTCCCGCTCCCGGGAGAAGAGAGCAGGACGCAGCCGCTCCCGCTCGCCCTCGCCGAAAAAGCCAGCCAGCAGGTCAGGCCCGAGGGGACAGGGGCACGGGGACACCGCGGGTGCCGGTGGGCTCAGAGGGCATCGCGGCTCAGGGTGGTCCCGGCTGCCCTGGGGCTCGGGGAGGGGCCGCGCATCTTGTTGGTCACACTGGAAAGGCCAGCCCCAGGTGGGAGTGTCATCCGTGCGGGGAACTGCTGTCACAGGGTGTCCCTGCGTCCCACACGGGACCCCAGCCCATTCCCTGACCGTCCTCCTCCTCCTCCCCGGGCTGTAGAGAGAAGGACAACGAGCCCCGAACACGTCATGGTGATCCCGATCCCGCCCGCCCCCGGCGCCGCTCCAGGAGCTACTCCCCCATCAGGAAGAGGAGACGTGACTCCCCGAGCTTCATGGAGCCCAGGAGGATCACCAGGTGTGTCCTGGCATGTGGCAAAGGCTCTGCCACGGCCCGGGGCTGGGCACTGCTGCCAGCTGACCCCAAAGGGCACGTGGGTGGGTGGGTGGATGGATGGATGGATAATAGATGGATGGATAACAGATGGATGGATGGATAATGGATGGATGGGTGGATGGATGATGGAACAACAGCAGCTCTGTGGATGCACAGATAGCTGTGAGGATGACTGGGTGGATCAGCTGGCCCAGACAGATGGGTAACCAGACTGCCTCCAGTGCTGTGACCTTCTGATCTCTTCCTATTTCGAGGCACGAAAACAGGAATTAATTTTAATCCGCTGTGCCTATCCCGGCAATGCTCACGTCCGCAATCACGTCTCTCCTGCCCTCCAAAAGCTGGTTTCTCCTCCTTGGGATCCTATTGCCTCAGGATCCTGAGCTGTAAGACAGGCAATATTTCGTGCCAGACAAAACACTGTGTGCATATGTAGCACCTCGTTAAGATGCAGCACTGGCGGCGGGGCCGTGCCCAGCCGAGATTACCTCCTTCCTGACCTATTTGTCTCTCCCACTATCAGCTGGGTGATCAGGGGGGGCTGGATTTTCAGAAATCTGCCTCCCTGTGGGAGGGATTTTGTTTTGCCTGGGCAGGACTGGAGCTGTCAGGAGGGAGGACAGGAGAAAGGACAGGAGGAACACTGCAGAGCCCACGGGTTAGAGCTCCCCACTGTTCTCCCTGACGGATGCCCTGGAAAGAGAATGGGCTGGGAAAGCTGCTCCCAGCCCAGCCCAGGTGCCACTGTCTGGCTTTCCATCCCTCCTGCTCCATCCAGGTTTTCCCAGGATGTCCCCAGAGAGGTGGCAGGGCTCAGCTGGAAAACACAGATCACAGGAGACTGTTCACCTCATCCCCATCACCATCCTTGGGGGGGATGGGGGTGGCAGACCCTGCTCTGCTCAGGATTCAGGAGGAGCAGAGCCTTTTCTGTGAGGTGTAGAGGATGCTGTGGGTGGGGGGCAGCCAGGGAAACACCCCCAGCCCCCCTTGCCTGCCCCACAGCCCAGCCAGAAGCCCCAGGGCTCTCCTTTGCCCGCCTGCCCTGTCCCCAGTTCCCATCACGCCCCTCCACCATGTGGTCCTACCTCAGTGATGCCAACTTCTCCTTTTCCATTTCATCCCAAGGTCCCTCCCGGAGAGCATCGCCGCCAGCCTGGCTCCCAGGGTAACCTTCCCCCTTCCTCCTCCTCCTCCTCCTCCTCTTCCTCCTGGACCCCTCTGTGTCTCCTCACACCTTAGGATGCCCTCAGCACCCAGCCGCTCTCTGGTCCCACTAACACCAGGCTGGGAGAAGGGACAAGGGGCCGACTCCCGATGTCGCTGCCCCCTGTGTCCCCCACCCCACTGTCCCCGCGCCTCCCGTGTCCCTCCTCATCCTCAGGCGCCAGCGGGCCGCAGCTCGCCTCCCGCTAATCCCAAACGTCTCTTTTTCAGCAGCTTTCAATCTTTGGTGTCTGGGAAACACAAAAGCCACATTAACCTGCTCACTTTCTGCCCTCGACGCTGCCTAATCCAGGACTAACACCCCGGGGGAGGGGACAGGGGAGGAGGAGAGGGATGGATGGATGGATGGAAGGAAGGGGAGGTGATGCCGGTGGCCGCATCCTGACACCCCGCAGCGGGTCTGAGCCCGGCCGCTGGGGCGCTCGGCTGCCCTGGCTGAATGCTTGGCCACGCTTCCCCGAACGGCCGCGGGGGGCCTGACTCAGTTTCCCTTTTCCATTTGCAGCGCACGCAAGCGCCCCATCCCCTACTACCGGCCCAGCCCCTCGTCCTCCAGCTCGCTGAGCACCTACTCGTACAGCCGGAGCCGCAGCCGCAGCTACGACAGCTACAGCTCCAGCCGCAGCCGCAGCCGGACTCGCAGCCCCCCCAGCCGCTCCCGCAGCCCCAGCCGCAGCCCCAGCTACAACAGCCGCAGCAGCTCGGAGAGCGCCGGCTTCTGAGCCCCCCCGGCAGCCGGCCGCAGCCCCCCGACAGCCCAGCTCTGCCCCCTCCATGCCACCTGCGCCCCCACAAGGGACGGGACCACCGGGGAGGTGGAAAGGAGCCGGGGGATGCTAAGGACGGACCTGGCAGCGGGGGAAAGCACGGACGGGAACTCAAATGGGTCCTTGGAACGCCCTGGGAGGGGGTGGTTCCCCCCGCCCCGGGGTGTTTTGGGGTCGGGATGGGGAAGGGGAGGATCTTCTTATTTCTGCGAGTGCCGGGGTGGGGCGGGGCGGGGCGGGGTGGGCGAGCACAGAGCGAGGGAACAAATGCTCTGCAGAGACCTTGGGGCCAGTGGATGGGGGTGGCTGGGGACACCCCTGGGGTCCCCCTGTGCTTTTTTTGGTTTTGTTTGACTGTTTTTTAGCACAAGAGCATCCCGGGGAGGTGGGCACGGGGGCAGGCTCAGCTGGAGGGTGTGATGCCAGCCAGAGGTGAGCAAGGCCCTGTTTCCCCCAGTGAAGTTGTCCCCAGGGTGTCACGGGGGACAGGGACTCTGCAAAACATTTTGGGGTCCCCCCAGACCTGAGCACACGCCGAGCCATGGATGAACAAAGCTGGCAGCACCTGTAATTCTCTTCCCAAGCGAGGAGATCCAGGGAGAAACGCTGCTTGTCCCAGCTCAGGGCCCTGGCACCCACCCACCCAGCCAGTCTGGGGGGCACCCCCAGGAGGAGGGAGCTGCAGGGCCCGGGGCTGGGCAGGGGGTGCATGCAGCCATCCCCTGGCCTGTCCCACCTCTGGGCTCGCAGCCCCCAGTCCCCTCCTGCTCTGGGGAAAAGTGGCTGCTTTTTAAACTGAATTATGGCAAGAGAGAGGCAGGAGGGTCCCGGGCTTGGCCCGCCACCCGGCTTTTGCAGGATTTTGCTGATTTCCCAAAAAACAAAAAGCCCCCCAGGCGCTGAGGACAGTGGTGGCCCCCGGGGGGGTTGGTGTTTAACGCCGCGGCCCCGCGTTTTCCGGATGGCTGGAGCAGGACAACGGGGATGAGCCTCCCTGGGTGGGAGAGCAGCTGCCCGGATTAACCCGCTGCCCCTGCATGGAAAGGCAGGCTCTGGCGCTGGTTTCCAGCCAGCCGGGATCGGGAGGATCCTCTGGAGCTCAGCCTCGTTAGGCGGGGCCTGATGAACCAAAGGAGCTGGGAGGACAGAGGTGGGAGCGAAGGGGCACTTCAGGGTCAGCCTCCCAAAGCTGGCGTGTCCAGGCCCAGCCAGAGGCTGAGGATTCACCAGCCCTTGGCCAAAATCCCAGGAGCTGGGCAGTGACAGGTGCCAGCCCCTGGGTGTCCCAGCACCCGCTGGACAGACACCTGAACAAGCAGAGGGGTTAGAAATGGGGTGAGCAGGTAAGGAGGGGACACACTCGTGGCACTCCATGGTGCAGCTTGTCCCCACGTGCCAGCCCCGGGCAGGGTGGCAGCTCTGGATGGAGCAGGAGGAGACAAAGGGTTCTGCTCTCCTGGAGCCTGGGGAGATGGAGGACGTGAGTTCCCCCAGCATCCCCACAAACCCTGAGCCACGCGCTCCGAAAACCATCCCAGCAATTCCAGCTGCTGCCCCACAGCCCCCGTCCCCCCACGGCCCCACGGGGAGCTCAGAGCGGCCGCTGGAGCCCCCACCCTGCTGGGACATGGGGGAATCCCCTGACAACAGCCGAGCCAGCAGCGGGGATTGCCCTGCAGCCCCAGCCCTGCAGTCCCCGCGGGGCCGCGGCTCCCAAAAACCCGAGCCCCGACTGCAGCGGCGCCGCGGACCAGCCAGCACATCAGGGAAAAATTCCAGTCTTCCTCTTTTACAGTCTCTGTCTCCTGCCGCGGAGGGAGCCAACTGGAACAAATACTCTGTAGAAATACTTCAGTATTTTCCTGTCGCGCGTGCGCTCTCTCTCTGGGTTGTGAGTACAGCTGTAGATGCCGTGAGCTGGTGCAATTATAATAAATATACAGTATATATTGTAAATTACTCTGCGGGGCACTGAGAGGTTTCTTCCTGCCAGGAGCACGGCAGGGTTATCCCGCTCCTTCCGTCCGGCTCCCTGCGGATCCGTCCTGCTCTTCCCTCTGGCTCCACGGGGAGCAGCACCGGGAGTTTTGTGTCTGATCCCACCGAGGGTCCCGCTGTGTCTGTGGGGGACCCTCTGGCTCCTCCCTGGCTCCCTGCATCCTTCCCTGAGGCACTCCCATTTGCCTGCCAGCTCCCATCCGTCCTGCCTGCATCCCTCCCTGCATCCCTCCCTGCATCCCTCCCCTCTCTCCCACATCCCGGCATCCCTCCCATCTGCCTGCAACTCTCCCATCCATTCCATACCTCCTGCATCCCTCTCCGATCCCTCCCATCCTTCCCTGCTCCTCCCTGCGTTCCTGCCTGTATCCCTCCCATTTCCCTGCAGCCCTTCCTGCATTCCCACCTGCCACCCTTCCATTCCTCCCTGTATCCCTCCTCTGACCCCTCCCTCCCAGCATCCCTCCCTGCATCCCCTCCATTTCCCTGCATCCCTCCCTGCATTCCTGTCTGCATCTCTCCCCTCCCTCCCACACCCCCTCGTTTCCCCACATCCCTCCCATCCCTCCCCTCTGCAGTACCACATCCTCCCCTATGCCCCCACATTTCCCTCTGCATCATCCCCCCACACTCCTGGAGGTCAGTAATTCGTGCACTGCGTGTGTCAGGGCTCAGCTGCCACCCACCTCCTGTCTTCTCCAGGGCAAATCTGGGGCCACAGGGGATGGGCTCCAGAGCTGCTAGGCTTGCTGGGCTGGAAAACAGCCCTTCCCCAGCACGGGAGCTGGGCTCTGGCCCCAGATGAGAATCCCTTCCTGGGTGCCAGGGGTGTGGAGAGACTTGGATGAGAGGATCCCCTTCCACCCCCAGTCCCCCTGCCCCGCCAGAGCCCCCCTAACCCCACTATCACAACCAGCCCCCAGTCCCCACCGGCCCCATCAGGTCCTGCAAGCCCCCACCAACCCCCACAGGTCCCACTGGCCCCCAGACCCTCACCAACCCCAAGGGCCTCAGGGACCCCACTCCTGGGGACTGCAGCAGCCCAGCTGGGTGCTGGGCTTTCCTACCACGGTGCTGAGAGAGCACTGCAGCCACTGGAGTGCCAGAGGGCTGGGGGGCTCTGGAACCTTCTGGCTGTTGGGTGACCAGGAGCTGGGGGCTCTGGAACCTTCTGGCCGGCGGTGACACAGCACAGGGTCACCCAGGGCCTCCTGCACTGACTCATCCGGCCGCTCCCGAGGCGCTGGCCCGGCCCCAGCCCCTTCTCACGCCGCATCCCGGGGATTGTTTTCCGGGCAGGCAGGCGGGAGAGGCCGGGAGCCACTCCAAGGGCCATCCATCACTCCCAAGCAGGCCGAGCCTCTCCCGATGAAAGGAGGACGGACAATTCCTTGGCAGGGGGGCCCGCAGGCTGCCAGCCCCCTCCCGCACACCCACCGCCCACCCACTGCGGCTGCGTGCGGCCGCCCCAAGCCCGGGCAAGTTTCTCGTCCCTTCCCCGGGGCCGTCGCAATTTCCATTAATAGCCAGCCGAGCAGCCCGGCTAAAAATAACCCCGGGCTCTCTTCATAAGGCCCCGGCGGCCGCCCCCCGCAGCCCCGCACGCCATGGCCGAGCGCCGCGTCCCCTTCACCTTCCTGCGCAGCCCCAGCTGGGACCCCTTCCGCGACTGGTACCATGGCAGCCGCCTCTTCGACCAGTCCTTCGGGATGCCGCACATCCCCGAGGATTGGTACAAGTGGCCCAGCGGCAGCGCCTGGCCCGGCTATTTCCGCCTGCTGCCCCGGGAGAGCGCCCTGATGCCCGCGCCCGGCTCGCCCTTCGGGCAGGCGCTGAGCCGGCAGCTGAGCAGCGGCATCTCCGAGATCCGCCAGACCGCCGACAGCTGGAAGGTCACCCTGGACGTCAACCACTTCGCACCCGAGGAGCTGGTGGTGAAGACCAAGGATAATATCGTGGAGATAACCGGTGGGTGCTGGGGTGGGGCTCTGCGGGGTCTCCAGGGATGGGGCAGATGCTGTCCTGGAGCTTGCTGGGTGGAAAAGGGTGGAATAAGGGGTGGGAATAAGGGGAAGGAAAAGCAGAAGGAGATGGAGGAGAGGACAGGAAAAAGGGAAGGAGAAAATGGAGACACAGAGGAAGGCCCAGCATTAGAGCTGAGTCTCAGGGTGCACTCGGGTGCAGAGACCCCCCAGCCCCATACATTGACCCCTTGCTGCTGTTCTGGAGGGACACAGGGAGACACAGAGGGACCCCGGGGGTGACGTGGGGTGTCATGAGCCCTGCAGCCCCCACAGCGCCCTGGATGCTGTGACAAAGCCCAGATCTGTGGCACAAGGCCAAGATGTGCTTCCTGCTGGGTGAAGGGTGGCCTGCAAGGAATGGGGGCAATTCCCAGATGAATTCAGGGAGGGGGGTTGCTCAATCTCCAGCCCTGCCAAGCTCTGGGGCCAGCTGGACACTGTTGGGCCCCTTTGGCCACCCCCAGATCGTGGCACAGCACTTTCCTCTGCTTAAATCTGGGGGATGCACCCGGAGTGGCCCTGCAGAGGGTTCCCCCAAGTTGCTCCAGGCTGATATTATGGCAAAAGCCCCAGGACGGGCAGAATCAGCCCCTCACAAGTGTTGGGGTGGGGCAGGAGGGTTCCCACCCAGCCAGTCCCTTCCAAGCATTGAGAGGTGTTTGTTTCCTTCCAGGCAAACACGAGGAGAAGCAGGATGAGCACGGCTTCATCTCCAGGTGCTTCACCCGAAAATACACGTAAGTACCAGGGAGGAGGGGAGACACCTGATGCAGTCCCGATGTTTTTGGGGGCGTTTTCCCACCCACCCACACCCTCCAAAGTGCACTGGCCAAACCGGGAGTGCTGCTCAGCCAAACTGGGAGTGGGGGAGGCAGCAATTTGGGGCTGAGCATTGCATCCCCCGGGGTGGTGCTGCATCACTCACCTCCCCTCCCCTCTCCTCCCAGCCTTCCCCCTGGTGTCGAAGCCACGGCTGTGCGGTCCTCGCTGTCTCCCGATGGAATGCTGACGGTGGAGGCCCCCCTGCCCAAACCCGCCATCCAGTCTGCCGAAATCACCATCCCCGTCACCGTGGAGAGCCAGGCCAAGGAGCCGGCCAAGAAGTAGGCGGCACCGAGGAGGAGGAGGAGACGGAGGAGGAGGAGAAGCCGCTGCTGCCCCCCGCCCCCAGCTGCCCTCTCACACCCACCCCCTTTTTACTGTTGATTTTGTACTCGCCCTGTCACTGAGTGCCTTGAATAAATGTGAAGAATCCACCGGAATAAAAGCTGGTGAAAGAAACCTGTCCTTGTGGCGTGTCTGCCCCGGCACCTCGGCGGTGCCGTTCCTGCTGGGAGCTGCCCCGGGAGCAGAGCACCGGGACGGGGCTGCCCGGGCCAGCGGGGCCAGCAGGGTCCCCGAGCCTGCCCAGCACCTGGGGTCTGTCACCCAGCGCTCCACATCCCAGGTGCTCCCACCCCAATTCTTCACAGCCGGGCTCAGCATCCTGGGCTCGATGTCCCAGAGCTGCACACCCTGAGCCTCCCCGGCCTGGCTCTCCTACACCTCAGCTCTCCATATCCACCTCCAGCAGTCTGGGGGCTTTACATCCCGGATCTCCAGCATCTCTGCTGTGTTCACATGCCAGGTCTCCAGCATCCCTGTCTCAGCATCCCAGTTTTCCACAATCTGGGTCTCCTACATCCCAGGTGTCTCCAGTCCCAGATCTCAGCACAGTGAGTCTCCTCATGCCTGCTCTCCCACACTCAGGTTTCCACATGCCCTATCAGAGAATATTTGGGGTTTCCACACCCCAGTGTCACCATGCTGGGATGCTGCATCCCTGAAAAACAACTACACAAACACCCCCTTTGGGTCAGAGGGCAAATAGGGGCTTCATGGGCAAGAGCCCACCCCAGCAGTGCAGCCCCTTGAGCCCCAGCCCCCGTGGTGCCCCCCTTCCTTCCACCCATGGTCCGAGGGGCCGGGTTGGGGGTTCAGCCTCCCTTGGGGGGCTGGGTCGTGGTCCCGGTGCCGTTTGGCCCCGGCTGGCCCCGTGTCCCCTGTGCCCTCCCTGCCCCCGGGTCTCTGGGCAGGACTGGCCCTACATGGCCGAGGTCAGGCCCACGGCTTCCATGTCCCCCGATGTTCCTGCTCCGTCAAATCCCACTAATCCCCCCTGAGTCATCCCGCTGGCAGACGGTGACCTGGGAGGAATCCCGCAGCTGCGAGGCCCCTCTGCGAGCTCGGGGGGCTCCACGTGCCCCCGAGCCCCTGCCCCCCACGCCCTGCCCAGCAGCCTGGGCTGTGATGAGCTGGGCAGGTCTCAGCAGGCACTGGGGATCAATTCCCGATCCCAGCCATCCATTCCTGCTGCCGGGGGTCCCTCCTGTGCCTGGGGGGTTCCCGTGTGTGTGTGAGCCGGGCTGGGAGCCCCCGAGGAGCATCCCCGGCCCCCTCCCCTCTCCCGTGGCCACTCCACGGTGACTTTTGCTTCCCCAAAAAAGCGTCCCCCGAGCGGGGGTGGGGCTGGGAAGGATCACGGGCTGGGATGGGGTGGGGGGTCCCTCCCCGTGTGGGGGTGTCGGTGAGCCCAGCCCCTCCTTGCCGGGGGTGTCGGCGCCGCAGCCCCGGATCCCTCGCAGGGCGCGTGAGTCAAGGCGCATTTCTGTTTATAGCTTCGCGGGGAGGGGAATATTTTTACAGCGTGAGTCACCGCGCGTGTGGCTGCGAGCGGAAAACCATCGGCAAGGGCCGGAGGTGGGGAAGGACGGAGGTGGGGAAGCGCCCACCCAGCCCCTCCTGAACCCCCGGGACCCTCCCCGCGCTCCCACCGCCCCGGGGAGGAGCGGAGCAGCCGCAGGGATGCGGATCCCCACAGCAGCGGAAGGGAGGCGGCCCAGGAGCAGAAGCCAGGCCGTTCCCGAGCCCCCTCGTCCCACGGAGCCCCCCAGAAAGTCGAGACAGGCGATAACAATTAAGCAGCGCTGACGTCAGATCTGTAAGTTTATTTGCTCAATGTACGACGGCTACATAATGACTCACATTCATGATATTCCATCACTGAGGAAAAACTGCTAAGAATGGTCCGTGTGTGAAATAATTCCTTACAGAAACACGGAGTTGGAAAAATAATCACTGATTAGACCTTAAAAATAGTTCACTGCATAACATGACAAAAAGCACAAACAAAGGCTCATTCAAAGAACACAGTCATTGTTCTCCTACACTGTAATAGTTATAATTTCACCATGACGAACACCAGACATTAAGATTAAGCTAACACTGGTGTTTTCTTTTGCTTTTTTTTTTTCCTTTTTAAAAACAAAATAATATATAATTGCATGTCACTATAGCAACATCCATAACAGATCAGTTTGTTACGATCACTATTTGGTAGAGCAAACTTTACCCCCGAAAAAAAAAAAAGGAAAGAAAAATAAATTAAAAAACTTTAAAAAATTTTTGAAGACTATTTTGTCATAGGAATACATAACATCTACAGTATAAGTTAATAAATTTCAAGCTACTGTATAGAAATACGACACTAGCATGCACAATATTGTATCAATAGAGTAATGGAGCAGTAATCATTTCACTGGAGAGACAGTATCATAGGCAAGTGCATCTCTTAAAAAATGAAAGAAACCATTCAAGCTGCTTAAAAATCAAGTCCCTGACCCCCACTCCGTTTTTAGCCCTCTTGTGCCATCTCTCCTGCATAAGTTTCCTAAAGCAGCCAGAGCGATAAGCCAAAAAGAGTAGTAATTATTTGGAGGAAAAAAAAAATAAAATAATTAAAAAAAAAAAAAGATAGGTTTTGTAATTCCAGTAAATCACTTCCAATTGTACAGCTGGGACAACACTGCTCACGGGACACGGGGGCGACAGAGGGAGCTCAGAAGCCTAAAGCATCTCCCGGCGCCGGCACGCACCGGCACCGCTCAGCCCCCGCCGCGGGACGCTGCGCCCCGAACCCCCTGCTCGGAGCGGGGAAGCCGGCCCAAAGCAAGCCGTGCCGGGCCGGGCCGTGCCGGGCCGGGCCGTGCCGTGCCGGGCGGGGCCGTGCCGGGCCGAGGCGCTCCGGGCAGCGCTCGGGGCCGGAGCCGTGCCCGTCCCCCCGGGCCGGCGGTGCCGTGTGTGCCTCACCACAGCGCGCCGTGCGGGGCTGGCTCTCGCAAGGGACAGGGAAAGCCTGGTTCCAAAATCAGCGCCACAACCACGACAGGGAATTAAAGAACTAAAGAACTAAAGCACGAGCGCGGTTTCTCCTCACTGCGCAGCGCTGGGGGAAGCGTGCAGGGCGCAGCACTCCGCGAGCCAGAGAACAGCAGTGAACCTCCAACAACCATGGAAAAAATCAAACTGAAAGCTAAATTTACTCAAAATGGGGTAAATAGTACCTGCTAAGCAATTCAGATGCCCCAACTCCCACCCCTGGCCGGATCAGACAGACTGAGAAAAGATTTTGCTAAGAAGAGAACTAAGTTCCTGGGCTCCTGATGGTGGACAGAAATGTCTATGATTGTAGCTCTTCCCTTGAGGAATTCCTCTACCAAATTAATGTCTAAGCTCCTGAAGTTCACTCATTACACCACAAGCTTCCCCAGGAGAAAGGAAAACACACCCGGCTTCCCTGGTGACAAACAAGGGAGCCCTGGGTGCCGGAGATCTGCTGACAAACCTCATGGTACAGTGGGAGAAAGTCAGGCAGAGTGAAATGGCAGTGCAATCCCTGAGGAAGCAGCTGTGGCACCTTAAATCAGGATGGTCTTTTGAAATACCAAACACAGTACATGACATACAGACCTGAATGCTCTTTTTTTTTAATATTTTTTTATTGTTTTTTATTTAAGTGGCATTTTTAAGTTTAAACACTTCCCCCTTTGTCTAATTAAGTTCTTAAACCTTTAGCTGTGGACTTAAAATAGTTGAAACAGCCGCTAGCCAAGCACCTGTTAAGCTGTTGACCAAAAAACTAGAGCAGCTTTGATGTTCCTCGGGCGGGCGGTCTTCTTGCCTTGGGCGACACAGAATAGCTAAAGCCAGTCCACAGGCGAGGACTGCTCAGGAAGGCAAGCCAAAAGAACTAGCAAAAGAAAGAAAAACAGACAATCAAAGGCTTGATGTCATATGGCTGTAATGTAGAAATACTGTAAACTGCAATTTAGTGTTAATACTGTAAGCTACCCTAATAAATATCTCAACCAAAAAATTAAAAGAAAAAAAAAAAAAAAAAAGAAAAAAAGATTGGATGGCCTAAATCCCAGGGCTTTGCGAGCCCCAAATTCTTTAGTTTTGTTGGTTTTATTTTTAATTCCTTCTCAATTTGGGGATTTGCAGCTGTGCCCTGGCAGGCAGAGCGCTGCAGAGAGAGGCCCCGCGACGTGGCGCGGGCACACGGCACCTGGGCTGCGGAAACAAACGCTCGAAGCCTTACTGGAACCACAGAACTCCCTTTTTTTTTTTTTTTTCCAAATGTTTTTGCGTTGCTTTCCTTAAAAATGAGGGCCATTCCATCCACGCAAATTCGTCTTAAAACCCTTTTTTTTTTATTTCTAGCAATAAAGTTAAATTAAAGACAGCTCCACTTGTATTAATAATCTACAGAACAGTCCATATGCCAGTGAGGCTGCTATTCCATACCAGCACAGCCAGCCTGACTTCCACTAGTGGTGTTTTGGCAAAAATGTCAACGAGGCAATCAAAGACAGGTTGTGGGGGGCCTCCCTGGGAAGGTGTCCCCTCCCTTTCCCTCCCCCACCCCGGACCCCCCCCCACTCGTGGGAAAAAAATAAAGACTGCAGTAGTTAGCATCAGCGTGCGGCTGCCAGTCCATCGGGGGGTCTAGTTGTTGCCTTCTCCGCCGTCGTCGTCTTGCTGATCGCTCGTCCAGAGCGTTAGGTTGTCGCGGAGGAGCTGCATGATGAGCGTTGAGTCCTTGTAGGAGTCCTCGTTGAGGGTGTCCAGCTCGGCGATGGCGTCGTCGAAGGCTGTCTTGGCCAGGTGGCAGGCCTGCTCCGGCGCGTTCTGGATCTCGTAGTAGAAAACCGAGTAGTTAAGCGCCAGCCCGAGCCGGATGGGGTGGGTGGGCTGCATGTGCTCCTTGCTGATCTCGTGGGCTTCGCTATAGGCCTTCTCCGAAGACTCCACCACGGTCGCCCTCTTCTCCCCGGTGGCCACCTCGGCCAGGTAGCGGTAATAGTCCCCTTTCATCTTCAGGTAGAAGACTTTGCTCTCGTACTGCGTCTCGCTGCAGTTCTTGATCAGGTAGTTGTCCAGCAGGCTCAGCACGTCCTGGCACACCGCTTCCAGCTCCTTCTCGATCTTCTCGCGGTAGGCACGGACCATCTCGATCTTCTTCTCGTTCCCATCTGCAGAGGTCTTCTGCTCGATGCTGCTGATGACTCGCCAGGACGAGCGCCGAGCCCCCACCACGTTCTTGTAGGCGACGGACAACAGGTTCCTCTCTTCATTGGACAGGGGCTCGTTCAGCTCCGTCACCTGTGCGGAGAGAGGGGCAGAGAAAAGAGACATTTGGGTTAAGCCCAGCCTTGTGACGCTCCCATCACACCTCTGGGTGTGCCTGTGCATCTCTAGAGAGAGGCAGGAGGAGGCAGTCAGCTCGCAAAGTCCTGCTCTGTCATCCAGCTCTGTCTCTGCTCCCATCCCAGCAGGAGCCAGCTGGGAATCATGCTGTGGCCCAGACCCACAACAAAAGGAGCAGGCGTTGGGTTTTATTTGAGAGATCAGCATCTTCCAGAGCGAGAAAAGTCTTCTAGGAAACAGATGCCTTTCACCTGTAGGATGAGAGTTGGGCGTGGTGATGCAGGGGAGAGGGACAGTGAAAGCAAGAGGGAGGAGATGGTCCAGGGTTATGAGCTACCTGCACGGATTAACACCACCAGAGATACAGGGTGTTCATCTCTTCCACTTCCCACAAACATGGGGCACACTTCACAGATACCCAAAGAATCTCTGAGATGGCACAATTACAACTGCCTCAGGCACCTGCACAGATAAGGACTTAAAAGCTCACATGGTGAAGGGGAAATCCCCCACACTGAGTTTTCCTCACTGAGGTTAACAGCGTTACCTGCCTCATGCACCACAAAAACCACAAAGGGATTACAGAGATGACAAGCACAGAGCTCTCTCAGTAACTTGGGAAGCACCACTTGGTATCACAATAATCCCATTCCAGCTCCCACAACACCATCTCTGGCTGAAGCCACCCAGTCAGCACCTCTGGCCAAGACTGCACAGCTTCCCACCCCCAGGAGCAGGAGGAGCCCTTGCAGCAGAGAGCACACCACACGGCAGCTGCACACGGCCGCTCCCCTGAGCTGGTTACAGCTGCCAAGTGCCACTTTGAGCCTGGGCATGGCCACTGTCCCCTTTCCCCCAGGACACGCCCCCACCCCACATCCACACCCTGGGCACAGCCACCTGGGAATCAGGCCACCAGAGCAGGAACCTGTGAGCCACCTCACGGCAGTAAAGGATTAGGTAATGCTTTGGATGTGAAAGGCTTCTGCAAACACTGAGTCACTTTCACAAGGATCTGTAAGGACAAGGTTTGCTCTGGGCCCAGATAACCACATTTATGGTGGGGATCAGGAGGCCAAAGGCCCAGCCCAGGACCTCATTTGAATGGCCTTGAATGACTCACAGTTGCTCACACCATATTGACCTGCACATTCCAGAACATCCACTCCTCCAGCAGCTCTTCAGCCATGCTCTGGCTAATGTCTCCTCCTAAAATCAGGCCACAGCTAAGCCTGTTTCCCCCACAGCAAGCAGAGTCTCTGATCAGCCCTTTCCCTCAAGGCAGAGGCAGCAAGCAGACCCTCCACTCCCACCCCTGCTGCTCTGTGATCTGTGCTGCTCCACAGGATGCTCTAGAGCCCGGCACAGGAACAGCAGACACTCCTTTTCCATATGGAAGAGGGTCTTGCTGTGCAAACCAGCACAACTGCTTCTGCTGCAGGGCAAGGACAGCCGGGGGAGCAGGGAAATGGGTGTCACGTTATGAGGGCAGGATCTCCTGGGACAATCAGCAGCTGCCAGCGGCGCAGGACAAAGAGCACAGAGCAGGATGCCAGGCAGCTGCCAGTGCTCCCGCCCAAGGTAAGCAGGGCAGCGGTGCCCGGGCCATCCCGCAGCTCCCAGTACCAACCCTCACACCCCTCTCCTAGCCAAGACAACAGTGACTGTTTAACCACAGGGCCCTGGGATCCCTGTGATATCCTGCTTCCTGCAGCAGGACCAGGCAGGGCCAACCACAATATGCCAAATACCCGTGGTGAGACACTCACACGCTGCCTGCTGTGCTGAGGTCTCTACTCTGCAGTTTTACAGAATGTCTCCATTTGTTCTTCCCTCTCAGTGACACCTGCACAAACACACAGTAATGATTTTGTGGGTTAAAGACCTCTTTGGGAGCACAACCAAGGTGTCCCCCTGCCCCAGAGCTTATGGGTTATCTGTCCTCAGAGATAGCAAAGACTCCATCAGGTTACCTGGGAGCTTATCCCACCTAAGCTGCCCTGTTTTGAGTGAGGGATTTGGAAATAGAAACATCCAGAAATCCCAGGCTGAGTTATTCTCTTCCATCTCTAAATGGAGTGTCCAACACCAACAACCATACAAGAGACTCACTGATTCCAAGAGTTTTCTGTCCTGACAGGGGTTGTGGAGATTGATCACCAGATGAAATTTTGCTTTTAGCAAGGTGCTCCCTGAGAAGAGACACCAGTTTTGAAGTGAAGAACAAGCAGGTGCCCCACAGCCACGTCTGCAGATACTTATCACTGCAGGAAGAAGTAGATTTACCTCCTCGCACCAGAAGAGTCTTGCTGGAGGACAGATTTATTAAAACTACAGGGAGTTTTGTGGGATTAGCTTTGCCATAAACATTTTAAATTCGAAGCTATTAAGGATTACGGAGGAAAGTTGCCTGTCAAAATCCTTTCAACAAACTGGCTGACAGATGGAAGGTACACCTGTGGAGACAGCAGATTCCCCTAGGGAGCTCACAGGGAACTTGTAAAAGCAGGAAGGGAGCCTTGTTAACCATGTCACTGCTTTCTAGCAGCACCCAGACTCCCAGGGAGGAGCACTGCAGAGACATGGCCAAGATGTGACATGGGTGGGGACAAGGACCATGGCCCTCAGCACCAGGAAAGGGAAGGGGCTGTAGTCCCACACATTTCGGTTCGCAGTTGGGCTGAGGGAGGAAGAACAGAAAACCATCTGGCTCCTGCATTCCCAGCAGGAAGAAAATGCAAAAATGCCCAGGACACAAGGTATCAGACAGTAGGGTACACTGAGCTGCCTTAGCAGAGTCAGAAAAAAGCAGAAAAGATGTACCCAGGGTCAGCTGTCTTTGAGGACATCTCTGCCCTCGGTCTGCCCAGAGCTGCCTGCTGCCCGCCTGCCTGTGCTGGCATTTCCTGCCACAGCCCCCTCCACACCCCAGACTGCGCAGTCCCCGTCACTCTGCCCTTCCCACAGCACTGCACCACTGCCCATCTCCAGCAGAAACCACTCCAACACCTCTGCACCAGCCTGTCACATGCACATGGGGCTGTGCCTTCTCTGCAGCCTGTGCTGGCCAAACAAACGCTGGGTTTTTTCTTACACTGCAGGATACCGAAACGAAGTGAGTTCAAGCCACGGGCTAAACAGCAGGTTCTGATAAAATGAGTTTGTAGCATTGCACTGAATGCCTCTGCTATAACATCAAATAAGGCAATATCCTGCAACAGGCCTGGAGCACACTGCAGCAGTCACATTATGGAAGGGCAGAACCATTCCCCTTCTTAACTCAGACCCTGAAGGGATTTCACCTCCCCAAAGAAGGGCAGTACCCAGATCAGGTCCCCTGATGCCATTTCCAGCACTGTTACATGGAGTCAGAGACTTCAAATAGCCAAAGGAAAATCTTAGTTTGGCATTAGGAGGGCTTGGCAGGAGCACAAAGCCATCAGCCCCTGGCTGCAGTCTACCTGCTCTTTGGGAAGCTCAGTTTAGTTTTACTTCCCTGGCTGCCAGCAGAGAACAGCAGAATTTGCTCTGCAAAGCTCAGTAACTGTCCAGCCTCACGTCACTCTTGTGCTCATGGAGACTAGGGAGAGGGGCAGGAGATGCACGAGCCAGTGTCAAGTCCTGGATGTGGCATAAACAGCCAAGGACAAAGAGCTCATCCACATGGTGGAAACTTGATAAAGGAAAGTCTTCTAGCTATTCTGGAAAAAAAAAAGAAGAAAAAAGGAGAACACACCTGCCAGGAGCAGACTGCACAAGGACACCTAGGCAGGGAGTGCAGGGAGCTTGGCATGGAGCAGTCCATGCTGCCAGGCTCTGGCTGGGAGGCATGTTCATCACCAAGCTGGAGGACACTGCCAGTTCCAGTCTCACCCGTTCTCTGATGGCACAGTGTCTGATGGCACTGAGACTCAAGGGCCCTTAAGCCATGGGGAAACTCTGTGAATTCCCGTTGGACAAAAATTACTGAAGTTTAGGGTTTATACTGCTTGGGAGACCAGAGGCTTGTACAAATGCAAGCCTTTTGATTTGCAACAAAGCACTGCAGAGGCAGCACCATCTCTGAGAAGGTTTTCCTGATTTCTCCACTACAGCTGGAGCTCTGACTCAGCACCCTGCCCAAAACCTGGCAGGCTCCCGGCATGCCCGAGGATCACATTGCAGCCAGGCAAGCTTCAGCCTCTTGAGAAGCCAGGGAACAAGCAAAACTTTACCTGTCCCTTATGTCAAGGTAAGTAAACTCCAAAAGCCCAAGGGCTGGTTCTACAGCACCTTCTTTCTGGAGGTATCCTGATTAACAGGCTTTGGTGAGACCCACAGGGAAGGTTTGCTCCCAGAGAACAGCAAGTTAGGTTGGTTAGGGGCTTATTCCAGGACTCCCATCCTCTACTTCCCACCTTGCAAGAGTAGGTCTGAGTATGCATCAGGAAATGACTGTTTTTGAGGTCCCTTCAGTGACTGCAGTGAAGATCCATCACAGGACTTAGCTCTACCTGTTTATTCTTGCACACTTTTCACTTAGTTTGATAATTAAGTGCCCACCCATTTACAGCTTCTGCCTGGCTTTGATGTCTTATCTTAAAGCAGACAGCACTGGCAAGCTGACAGGACCCAGAGATCCTTCCCTGGGGAATACCATCAACATCTGACAGTTTAACCCATGGTATAAACCTCAACACTTGCTCTTCTTATTGCCTAAAAGAGAATCCGAGTCCTTCAGGACATCAGACAGCTACAACAGACTGAAGCTTTCCTGGAGATACAGAGACAGCCATGAGAACTTCAAACTGTTCACTGAGAAAAGCTTTTAAAGATCATCAGAGCTCCTCTCCCACCAGGATACACAACATCCATCTCCCCTTCAGCACTCGATGCAACTGTTCTATCTACAGCTCCTGCACCATGTAATTAAATTTGTTATCTCTCCACACAAACCCTAGCAAGTGCCTTGTTTTCCTCCAAATGCAGCTTGTTAGTCTGAGCTCTGGCCTGAAAGTCCCCTTCTCTGTTTCATTTTTTGAAAAGTAAATGTGCTTTTGAAACGATGTTCTGACCAAGTCCAGCTACTGAAATTCCTTCTTGGTCTGTAGCCACTGGCAAGGGGAGCAACAAGCACACAACCCCGCCAGGCTCAAGGAGCTGAAAAAAGTCACAACACCTGCAGACATGTCACCTCCCCCCATCTCCAGCTGCTGTCTCATGCTGGGACCCCACTACCCATGTGCAGGGACAAGAGGACACAGCCTCAGGCTGTGCCAGGGCAGGTTCAGGCTGGACATGAGAAGAAATTCTTCACAGAAAGGGTTGTCAGGCATTGGAAGGGGCTGCCCAGGGAGTTGGTAGAGCCCCCATCCCTGAAGTATTCAAGAAATGACTGGATATGGCACTAAGTGCTCTGGTCTGGTTGACATGGTAGTGACAGGTTAAAGGTTGGACTCTGTAACCTTGGAGGTCTTTTCCAGCCTTAATGATTCTGTGACAAGACCACCTTCAGCAACCCAAGTGCTGTCATTCTGGAAGGTCATGACTGACAGACTGCCTGTTTTTTCCTGTCCCCAGCTCGCCCCAGCTTGAAGAAATGGCTGCCCTCAAGCACATGAAATTGTCACCATTACCCAGCAGCCTGGTGAGAGTCACGACTCGATGTCACACAGCCTCACCAAGAGCAGCTTCTCCCCAAGCACCAGAGCAAGCTGTCCCACAACTCCATCGCAGCACACAGAAGATGCTTTTCTTAAGCACTGTCCTACTTTGGTGAAGTAGGCGTGTGTTAAACCAGACCTAAATCTAAAATGTTACCAGATTGGTTTGGATTCTTTTCCCTGTTGCCTTGCCTTCGCCCCCATGTCACACTTCCAAAGTGGAAGTCACACTGTAACTGCTTCTCTCCTGGCTGACCCCTTCCGCTGTCCTCTGCTCATGTTTTAACTCAGTGTGGCCAGGGGGGTTTTGGGCTGTAGGTCAAACCCTTCCTCTCATCCCAGACAAGACCAGAAAACAGCACGTGCAGCATGCAGGCTGTGGGCAGACACAAGTTCCCCACTGTCTTCTCCTCTGCCTGTTTCACTATGAATAATCCCCTACTAGTTCCCGTTTTCTAAGCTGGCAGGACCAGTTCACATCACAGGACAGCAGCTGAGGGCACATGGGATGGCTCTGCCATTACATTTCAAATGGCTCCCAGTGCCTCAAGGACCAGTGTCTGCAGAGAACTGTTTATGGCTTGTAGCCCAACTGCATCTCAGAGGCTACTCGGGCGCTCCAGACACCAATTAGGATTTCTGCATGTTCCTACACTTAACAGCAGCTTTCATCCCACTCTGCAGCCTTTATTACTTAAGGCGACTTTGAACCACCCAAGACAAAGACTTCAGACTGGGAGATGTGGAAACCAAGAGCTCATTTATTTTATTGGCCTTTGTAGCTTAATAACTACATGTGATTGCACTGCGTTCAGGTTTGATCAGTCCTTGGAGCCTGCAGACCTCCTGCTCCAGTTTCAGTGTGGCCATCATGGATTCCAGTTGGAGAAAAAGCAAATTTCAGCTACTTGGGTCATTCTTGCGCATGAAAGGTTGAAGGGAGCCAAGGTGAGAACACCAGTAAGAGCAGCAGAGCTCTGAGCTGCTCCATTCAGTGTCTGGCAGCAGCGTTTTGTGTACCAGCCCTTATCTGCAGCACTGCAGTCCCAGCACTTGGGCTAACGACTCTGGGTTTCTTTCCACTACAGAACACCTGGGTGCCATTGATTTGTGTCCCTGACTTCTTCTGCAGCTTGAGATAAGGCAAACACGAGGGAGCATCTGCCTGCCGTGGCTATTGTGGACAGAGAGCAGCCCAGACACATCCCAGTAACCAACTGGAAGGAAAAACCCCGGCCTTCCAGTTTTGTGTATGTTCAAGTGTTCTACAAACAAACACTCAAGGAGCTACAAACCATTTCTGAGTTAGCTTTGCACAGTCCTGTTGCAGGGAGCTGCTCCTCTAGCCAGCATGTGCTTTTTGAGCCAGGAAGGAATTATGCTCAAATTTTCTTGTTTTCCTTTTTAACACCCTGATTCCCATTAGCCCTACTGACAGGTTATTCAACAAGATGAAAACTGGCTGTAGGACAACTTGTTTCAGCATCTTGCTGCCACTACCTGCCTTGTACTTATTAAAAACTCTCGGGGAAGATGATTGACCTCTGTTGGCCTAGTGCCTTCCAGCCACCAGATGGAGAGAGCAGCAAGTCCAACCACATCAGTCCCACGTTTCAGGGGACTGTCACTCAGGGCTCATCACATCGTCCCTGGCAGATGGGATACTAGCACCTTTGCCTGCTAACTACAAAGCAACAGAAGGGATGCCAAGCTATTCCTTCCCTGGGATACAGCATGCTGGCAGCATCATCTGCCCACTGCTGTGCTCTGTGAGTGCCTCAGCAGCAGCACAGGATCACCACCACCCTTCTCCATCACCCAACAGCTTGGGGAGCTCTCCTGCCTTGGATTATCTGCTCTGTTCCCTGCTGACAGGCCTGTTCTCCAAGCTCTCTGCTAAGCACGTGGAAGACCAGTGCCACAGTGTGCCACTGCTGTGAGAGCTCAGATGTGCCCCTGGAGCTCACAGCAAGCTTCAGAAGCTCAGAGTTGATCCATTGATCCTTTTGGAAGGAGAATGACAATTCATGGCTGCTACAGGCTCTTCTGGGCTGCATTAAGCTTTTCCAGGTGAGAGCTGAAGAGCTCTTCAAGAGTAACTGTAGCTCTTTCCTCAGAAGCATTTCTGTACAAGTTTAAAGACTTGAGGTTTTTAAATTTCTGTTTAAGCATTATTCCTCAGAAGATTCCATCTACTCACAGGCTTTTGAGCTGAAGCAGCCATTCACAGGATGGCTATTGGACATTGGCCATTAAGACTCAGTCCACACAAAGGAAGATGGCTTTTTTCTTTTCAGTTCATGGTAAAGCAAACCCAAGCTAGAGAGATTTCAGGGACTCTAGATAAATACACCAAGTTTCATGTGGGGAGGGTGTTTAGTGCTGCTGGGAGCATTAGCTGCTTAAAGATTTACCTCACAGCTTCCAAGGGTACTAATCTGGCTCAGATCTTTGTGCTTTCCTGCTCACCTCCAGCCCCACTGGCAGGCAGTAAGAATCCTGCCACCAGATCATCAAATCCTCCCCAGAGCATCAAGTGCCAGGCCTTGTCCTTAATCAGGGGCTCAAAAACTGCCTGTGCCCATGACCTCTGCCTAGCTGAGCCAAGTGGAGAGAGAAGACATGACGTGCCATGGGCAGGCCACCCCAAGGCTGAGAGCAGGTTGTGGCTGCTGGGAGAGCCTGTTGCCAGGTCTGCTGGAGCAGGATGAACTGGGCAATTCCTGTCTGCTGGCATGGCTTCCTTCGGCACGGCAGAGCCATTGCTGCCATGGCAGCTGCAAGCTGCTGCTCCAAAGGGTGACATGGGAGAAGCTGCAGCCATGCAAAACTCCCTGCAGTGAGCATGCACGTTTTTAGCTGCTCCATGTCACTCCCACAAACACTTTGGATACACTTGGTTGTCACACGTCAAGGTAAGATTCTGGAAGCATTAAAAACAAGCACCTCACAAGATTTTTGCTCTAGGTCTCTTGGTCTGCAGATCCAGCAGTTCCTTGGTGTCTCAAACATGTTTTACCAGATTAAGCAAGAGACTTCCCAGAACACCCAGGTGGATTTCTGCATGCCAGCTCCATGATAGGTTTAATTTCTACATCAGTGAGTAAGGTGATTATCCCTCCAGATGTACTTTACCCTCCCACTGCTTTGGGGATTTCAGGCTTGATCTTACACACCTTCAACAAAGACAATTTTATTTAATTTCTTAAATGAACTTGCAGAAAAGAAGAAAGTTTTTGCTCTCGCAGCTTTCTGGAGCACTGTAACCAATTTTAAATTACAAGAAGAGTCACTTTACTATCCTAGATCCAACAGTTTAACTCCTCTCACCTGGCTCCAGCCATCCCCTCCCAGCCTCTTCTGAAGCCCAAGGGACTCCTACCACAGATTTGACCTCAGTTCACCACAGGTGACAGAACCCCTCGGGTGCCGATGCCATCTTGACACCACCAAACACAAGAAGCCAAGCTCCCAGATTCTAGGTAATGAAATATTCACCCCGTGTAACAAAGCCCAACAGCAAAAACAGGCAAAGCTCCAACGCCTGCCCCAGCTGGGTGTAAATCAAAGGCTGTTAATCTCCCCCAAGTTCTCGTTCACTGCTGCATTAGCCTTTTACAAGTAGACATCTCCTACAGCAATTGTTGAGCGTGTCTGTTAGCACATGGCACAGCAACAGCTTCTCCACCTACTATTAATAAACTTGATGCTGCTGAGCACCACAACTGTCCAAACAACGTGTCCATCAGCAGCCTCGTTAGCACTGAGGCTGAGACTTCTCACTGGTGTTTTCCTAGAGCCTTGCTGAAACCATCTTAGAGAGGAGTCAGAAGCACACTGACACGCCAAGTAGCTTTGCTTGGTACGTAAGCAAAGACACATCCCAAGCAAGCCAACCCATCTAGCGAGATCAGAGGGAATTTGCAAACAATTAAGGAATGGTTTGCACTTGGAATCCCTACAGACTTGAGCTTGTCCAAGCACAGCTGCCTCAAACACCCATACACGGACTCAATTCCAACATCTCCTTCACAGAAGAAAAACATTAAGTACTCTCATCCCTAATCTGGGGATCACTTTAAGGGAATCTCATGCCATCATCAGTGAAATGTTCTCTAGTTACACTCCCACTGCAATTAACTAATACACTGCCCCTGGTCACTAGATCACTAGCTTGAGGCCAAAAATCAGGTTTGTTTAATATCTAATTGAGCATGTACTGGGTCATGTCCGAGATGTGACTAAATCTGGGTTAGCACAGAAAAACCTCAAACTGGGGGAAGTTTGCCCTTAAACAGGCAGACAAAGGCTTTTGTTTCACCAGCTACATGAAGGCTTTGCTTTTGAGACAGTCTTGCCAGTGTTTCCTGAGCAGCCCAAGAATTGCTGCCTCATCATTTCAGCTCAATTTTCCAGAATTTACCATTTCTGAGCTTTTCCAGACTATACCAAGATAACCAGCAGTACAACCAGCATGAGACTCCAGGGTGAAGATCAACCCTTATGATTTACCAGCCTCAGCAGCTCCCAGGGCTCTAGCTCACAAAAGGGACCAGAAAGATGCAGCAGCTCAGCCTCAGTGTCATTGTGCACTCAGAAAAGATGGACAAAGCCATCCCACTGCTGAGCTCCTCCCCCAGAGCCATGGGTGGGAATCCCACATCTTGACATCTGGATTCTGAAGCAAAGAGTCAGATCTCTTACTTAAGAAAATAAAGAAATGTAAACAGCAGAATAAAAGTAATTTTGTCCCAATTTTACTTCATTTTAGGTTGGGAGGAAGGACTTTGTGCTCATTAGATCAAGCAGCCAGGGGAAAAACATTCCCTCAAAGCCATTTCGTTTGCATGAAGAAAGAAGAGTTCCCCCACCAGACCAAAAACTGCACTGGCAGAAGCACAGGCACAGCCTGGCAGCCAGCAGCCATGGCAGAATGTTTTATCTCAATGCCACCAGCATAAAACCAGCCACCACCATTTCTCTGGACTGCTTCCTCAAGTCAAGCCAAAGGTTTCAGAGCTGAAAGACAAAGCCACCCAAAATCCAGCACACTGACTGATCCACTGCTACTTCCCCTTGTTTTAGCTGGTTTCCAGGCTATTGCTGCCCAGCAGTGGCCATCACTAGTCAAATCAAGTCAATACTTATGTTTTCACTCAGTTTTTGCATCCCAGACAAGGTGGTTGCCATTTTTCAGAAAGGGCAGTTGCCATTTCTCTGCAGTCACATGAATCTAACACTGGGGAACAAGACTTCAGCTAAGGACCAGTTAGGATAGTTACCTTTCCAGTAAAGAGCAGAAGTTGTTGAAAGCTTTCAGGTTTCCAGAAGGAAAAGACAAAGACTTGACCAGTGAAGGAAAAAAGGTCTAAGCTGGCTCTAAACCAGTCAGCACAAAAATATTCCTCTTTTGGAAAAATCTGTCATGAACTGCAGAGCACTGAAGTAGAAGAATGCCTGGAAGCACCGAGGTGCAGCAGCCACCCAGAGACAACCTCAGCCCTGCTCACAGCTTTGCCACAGTGAGGTGGAAGATGATGCCTGGATCCTATCAAGGCTGTCAATGGAGAAACGCTTGGGAAGCCAGGCAAATGCTGTTCCACTGTGCTTTGTACTGCAGTCATTCTAATATGCATTCATGTTTTTCTGGTGGCTCAGGAGGCTGCACAGGGCAGAAAAGCACAAGGCACAGTCCTAAATGCCTCAGGCATGGACCCATCTGAGGAAAAGCTCCCTCAGGTAGGCTGGAGGCATTTTCCAATGCCTCCTTCCCTGTACCTGCCTCTGAACAGCCTGGTGTGTGGCTGGGACGCCGAGCAGCCAGCTCTGGTCTGAACTAGTCTGACAGTCCTCATGGCTCTTCCCTGCCAGACTGGAATTGAGCTCCCAACACACCACTCACCTCTGCCAAGGAAAAAGCAGCACCAACAAGTTCAGCAGTGCTCCACATCCAAGGACACGTCTGAGCTCAGACAAAGCCTCCTCCCAAAAAGCAGCTGGTTACTCAAGCACTAGCAGTTGGGACACACAAAAGCTTGGATTCTTTTTTTCCTAAATATGTACCCTTGCACACAACTTCTGTGCATGGTTTAGCTGGCATGAAGCTGCTGCAAATAGAAGCTCAAGAGTTCAGTCACAGAGTAGATGCATTAGGCCCTGCCAGATGTGTCACCATGCATGGAGTTTTCTCCAGATGTCAGGTCATGGCTACCAGTCTCCTCCCCAGCCCCTGCTCCATCAGCTGCATCCAGAGCCATGTTTCTCCTTCTGTCCTCAAGAGCAACAGCTAGCAGATCCAATTCTCAGCTACTTTTAAGCCTGCTGAGGTAGTAGAAACATCAGGCTTTGAAAAATCCTTGTTCTTAAGATTGTGACCTTGGGGTCACTCACCAGCCTGGGAACAAAACCCAGGCTTCCCCATGGGCTAACGGGGTCCATCAGGTCACTTTTACTCCACCTCCCTGATCTTAAGCTTAGCAAGGCTGTGGCTGCTTATTCCTACTTGGAAAGCCAAGCTGAGCATGCTCCTGAGCAGCACTAATGCTACTGGCCAGGCACAAGAAACATGGTTCAGTAATACTCATGAAGAAGGAGAAAAAGTATGGTGGGGATCCTCGAATTAAGGAAATTCTTAACTCTACCAGCTGTAGAAGGTGAGGTAGAACCATGTTTTTCATCTCCCTGATCAGAAACCAAACCTCAGCTGCAGGAGGCAGAGGGATACACCAGTTATGTGGATAACCCTGTTAAAAGCACCATCCAGAACATCCATGAGAATCACTAAGAGGATGCCAAAGACATCATCCTGTTGCCAAGAACAGTGTATATGTCCCTAGGTGCTGCAGTTTTCAACCCAGTAAATATTTCTGGAGCTGAAGTTCTGTGGTTGTCCCTAAATTGCTGTTCCTGGGTATTCCAGCAAGCCCAAGCACACATCATCAGTGTCCAAGGAGTTTATTCCACAGAGCAACTTTGGGATCAGCTGGTGAACACAGCTGGAGCAGAAAGGGTTTATCCACTGACATTATGGAACTTATTTGGTGTACTGAAATAATTGAATCTCCTGTGAACCAGCTATCTTTTTACACAAGAAGCAGCAAATAAAGGTGGTTGAAAGAAAATTTAATAAATCAAGACAACTCAACCAATCTTTTTGCACTTTCATGGTTAGACATCATCAACAGATCTACTGGATAAGCCCAAATAATCCAGGGGTTCATGGAGAGCCCTTGCCCAAGTTTTACTATTTCTATGCCCCCAGGTATAATTCATCTGCTATATTCTCCCTCATAGTCTCAATATCACTTTTGTTTAGTTCAAGAAGAGCTATTCCAAGTCCAATCCACCCTGGCTGCTAACTAAGAAACCCAGCATGGTCTTGTAAGTCAGTGACTCTTCCTTAATGGACTAAATAAGAACCCACAGGAGCTCAAAGAGGAATTTTTAAGAGCTTGATCTGCTGAAGACTGGCCAGTTACTGAGCAGTGTCCACTGCAGTCACACACAGGGCACACTGCTACCTATCTGTGGCTTAGGAGCAGATGTGACTCAGGCTACTGCTACAAGGTCCCAAGGCTGAGTCACACGGAGACAACCCCACGCTGTGAACCTCTACAAGGTCAGAAGGACAGGAGCTCCTGACAGCCACCATCCTGTCCTGACCCCGTGGGCCTCCAGGAAGGAAGCCCTGCTCGTGAGCCAGGCTGTGTCCCATCCCCAGCACCACTGCAGTCCACCAGTGGTCTGCAGGCACCATGAGGCTGGGCAGCATTCACTCTGCCTGCACAAGAGCATCAATGCTGCCATGAGATGCCAACAGCTAATGACTGCACCATCCACCTCGCACTGGGAACGCTTTCTCCAAAGCCTTCCCCAGCCCCCTGGGAAGTGCTACTACAGCAGCTCGCAGTCCTTGGTCCCCTCCCACCATCACAGATGGCCTGCCCAGCACTCCTCCTGGAGAAGCCTTTCCACCTTCACCACCCTTTTGTCTGTGTACACTGCGAGCAGAAAGCAGCTAATCATCCCTGCTCTGCTTCCTGGGGACTCTCCAGATAGGCTGGATTTGTGTTACTACCCCTTTTTCCAAGGGTGAGCCTGCGGTCTGTGTGAAGCCTTGCTGTCACTGATGTGGAGGATGGTAACCTGCCCAGCTGGTGACCATCACAAGAGAAGCCCACATACCCCGTGCCAGGGAAGGCCTGCAATTCCCCATCCTCATGCTCCTCCTCCACCCACAATGGCCATTTACTGCACCAAGCTGTGCTGTCTAAAGCTCGGAGCAGCCATCTGCTTTCCAGCATCTCCAACAGTCCCCCCTTCACAGCCACACTTGGTGGTCCTTGCATACAGCACAGCCAGGGCCCTGCTGCAGAGGTTGGGCCCCCCAGAATTGAGCAGTCAGGTGATCCCCTCACAGGGGACAGCCCCACGCCTACACCATCCATAGGTGCAGTACAATAATTCTCCCCACACACTTTTAAAAGATGACTTATTTCCTGGTTAAGTAATTGCAATCATCTTGTTCATTCACCTGCACATCCCCCCAACACGAAGGTCTGTGGGGAGGCACGTGCTCTGCCCCTGGGCAGTGCTGGCCAGGGGCCTGGCAGGGCTCCCACCTCCGGAAAGCCTCCAGCAGCACTGCTCTCCCCAGCTAATGGATATTGATCCCCAGCCCTGGCGTGGGCTCGGACAGCAAAGCTCTTCCTGAAGCTGAACCAGACAAAAATACATCTTGCTCCAACCACCAGCACTGTGGGAAGTGAAACTCCAGCAAGCAAGCCCAAGGCCAATGTCTGACCACACTGGGGACCAGCAGAGAGCTTTCCTGTCCCCCAGCACCTGATAGGGCTGATGGCACCCCCAGACAGCACTGAGGTGACAAGGGACATGAACAAGGTCATGTAGACATACCCTGGATCGATGGGCCCAGCCCTGCACCCTTCCTGGGTGTGGCATCACCTTCTACTCCCTTCTGTTGTTTTCAGAGACCCCCAGTAAACCTGCCCTTTTTGGGGGCTGAAGGAGCAATCCTGCTCCTGCAGCAGCAACAAAACAACAGGCAGCAATCAGGGGCACTGGCAGCTAGCACTTGCAAGAAGGAAGGCGCTGGAAGTTATTATATATAAATATTATTTTTGAGAAACTATTGCAATCCCAGACATCACTAGATGAATCAGCAGACAGCAAGAACCCCAGCACACCATTTCCATTTTAAACCATTAACACAGCCATTCAGCACTGGCTCCCAAGCACACGGGGCTGAGGCCGAACCCAGCTGCCCCATGTGAGGCAGCTGCCAAAATGCACCGGTGAGATGAAGCTGCTGCAAAACGAGCCTCTTTAATGCCCATCATTGCCACGACAGGTTGGAAAGGAGAACCATCCAGCATTTCTCAGCAGGGTGCTAGGCAGGGCTAGGTTTGGAGGGCAGGATGGCTCTGCATCACCTTCGCTAGGCGCAGCCCGCATGCTCTCTGCTACCGCCTGGGTGCATTGCAGCTTGGACCATGGCATATGACATCACTAGGCGTTGCTACGGAAATGAGTGCGAGGTCATCAGCCTCCCGCACAACCGGGGCTGGGGGCTGGGCAGCGCACGGGGACGGGGATAACCGGCTGTGACACGGCTGTGCCGTGGCCGCCGGACCGGCCGTGCCGGAGCTGGGGCAGCGCGGTGCAGAAAGGAAGAACAAAGCTCTGCCTTTTGTTTGCTGGTGAAGGGAGGCGGCAGCGCTCCCGCCGGGGATCGTTTCCTTACGGCCAAACTACCCGGCAGCTGATAAGAGGCGTTAGCCCGGGTTACTGTTTCACCAGGGCCCGTAAGGAAAAATCACACATAGGAGCTCTTAACAACACCTGGGCTCGAGCACCCGGCCCGGGGAGGCAGGCTAAGAGAAATTCACAGTGCAACACGGCTGTGAGTCCCAGGCACATCCCTGCTGGCTTTGTCACGGCGGCTGTATTATCCGTAGGAAATGAGCTGTAGGATCTGCTCACACAGCAGGCTTTGCTTTAAAATGAATAGATGCTGCTATCAGAAAATGGTATAAAAGCCACAGTGCAGCAGAGGGACAGCCCGGCTGGTTTAATGTGATAATATCTCGTTCCGATTATCCGTATTTCATTCCTTGATAAGACATCTCCTCCCTCCCCGGGCTCAGGCTGTGACAGTTTTGTCTGTTTGATAAATGCAAGGTTATTGACAAAATGGTGCAATATGGGCAAACAGAGCTGCACCCACGGCAGACTGCGACATTCCTAGATCGGCATTCACTTTTCATCAGCCAGGGAGGACACCCCAGCTCCCAGCAAAGGTTCAGACCTGACTAAGAAGACAAACATAAAGAACAGTTTTCCCCTTTAAAGCACCCCCTCCCTCCCTCCACCCAGTCTAGCCTCTCTGCAATATGACAAATGCAGAATCTTCTGGAATGACTTGATCCTGCCTCCCACGATTGCTTTGTTTGCAAGATCAGATCAGCGATATGTTTTTTTTTCCCTTCTTATATTGTCAAAATGTCAGTATTGAAGGGGAGCGTTCAGTGTCACAAATCAGATCAGCCTGCTATATGCAGAGTCTTTATTTTAAGAGCGTGAAATGAATACAACATGACTCAATTCATAAATCTCCAACCAAGAGCAGTAAAAATAAGAGCTTTGACAGTGAAAGGGCTGCCGATCTTTGGGGTCAGGGGCACACACCAGCCTGGGCGACCACGCGTGGGAAGGGATGCACGGGGAGATATTTCGGCAGCCGGGAGAGACGTGCACGAAACCCCCCCACCCCGGGTCCCCCCCTGCCTCGCCCCCCGGGGCCCCGAGCCGGTGTGACCCCCCCGGGCAGCGCCGCAGCCCCGCCTGGCTCCTCTGCCCCGCCACGCCGAGGCACGGGAGGGGGCCTGGGGCGGGGGGAGAGAAGAAACGCGGCTGGAAGGTGATGTGGGGGGCTGCAGGAATGCGGAGGGAACGCGCTCCAAGGCAGAGGAGAGGATGTGGGGGTGCTCCAGGGCAGGGGAGGGGATGCGTGGGGCTGGGTGGGGGCAGCAGGGCAAAGAGCGGGGTTTAGGGCAGGGGAGGATGGGGGGCGGCTCTAGGGCAGAGAGGGGGGATGTGTGCGGCTGGGTGGGGGCTCCGGAATAAAGGAGAAGATGCGGGGGGGTTTGGGGCAGGAGACAGCGATGTGCGGGGCTGGATGCGAGCCCCCGAGCAGGCGAAAGATGTGGAAAGGGGGCTCCAGGGCAGAGGAGCAGGAGGCGTGGGGCTGGGCGGGGGTCCCACAGCAGGGCAAAGGGTGCGTGGGGGGCTCTAGGGCAGGGATGGGGGTCGGGAGAAAGCAAAGTAACGCTGGATCGGGAAAAGCGGCGGGAACGGGACTCAGCTGGGGGTGTCGGAGGGCGAGGGACCGGGGCCCTCACAGCCCCGCGGCCCCCCCGGCCGAGCCCACCACCCACCGCGGGGAACACGCGGGAAAGGCGAGGGGAGGGCGGCCCCAGCGGGGCAGGAGGAGGAGGAGGGTGAGGGTGTGTGTGTCTGTGGGGAGCGCGACGGCCGCGGGACGGGACTCACGTTCTTCATGGCGGCCGCCATGTCGTCGTATCGCTCGGCTTGCTCGGCCAGCCGGGCCTTCTGCACCAGCTGCTCGCGGTCCACCATCTTCGCGGGGTCCGGGGGGGAGAGGGGCGAGGAGGCTGCGGGCTCCGGGAGGAGGAGGAGGAAGGAGGAGGAGGAAGAGGAGGACGAGGAGGGCGCGGCGGTGTCGGCGCTGCTGCGGCTGAGGCGGCGGCGGCGGCTGCGCCCGGTGCTGTGCGCGCGCCGCGGGCCACCACAACCCCCGGGCACGACGGGAGATGAAGTCCTCAGGCGCCCGAGCGGCGCTGAGTTCATGCAGTCCAGCCTTTCCCTTCAGAACTACATCTCCCGTCGCACCCCGCGCCAAGGCACCGGCCCCTCGCCCCGCTGAGCCCCGCCTGTGCTGATTCACCGGAGCCCGGCCCGGGTGGGCCGCGGAGGGCGCGGCCGCGCCGGGAGAGCGGGGGGGTCCGCCACAGGCACCGTGGGACGGGCGGCCCTCAGGACGGAGCCGCGGGACGGCGCCGGGCACGGGCCCACGCAGGGCAGGGACGCGGCCGCAGGCCACGCACAGTCACAGCCCGGTCCCGCTGGCGGCCCGGGAGCCGTTCGCAGCATGGGCGCGCTCAGGGCGGGGACGCTGCCGCGGCCCAGGCACACCCGCAGGCCGGGCTCGCACACGGAGCGGACTCAGTCACAGGCCAGGCCCGCTCAGAGCCCGCACACGGCCCGTGCTCACCGTGCCCACCAGAGCCCGGCCCCAGTGAGAGCCCGCACACACCGCACACAGCCCGTGCCCACCCAGAGCCCACTGAGAGCCCGCACACACCGCACACAGCCCGTGCCCACCAGAGCCCACCCAGAGCCCGCACACACCACACACAGCCCGTGCCCACCCAGAGCCCACCCAGAGCCCACACACAGCCCGTGCCCACCCAGAGCCCACGGGCACTCGGCTCGGAGCCACCCGCAGGCTGCTCTCAGAGCCTGGACCCACGCACAGCCTGGTCCTGCTCATGGCCAGACCCACTCGTGGCCCTGGCTCACTCACAGCCTGAACCCACTCACAATCCAAAGCCACTCACAACCAGATCCCATTGAAACCCTGATCCACTCAAAACCCAGACCCGCTCCCATCCTGGTCCCACTCACAGCCCGTGCACCCTTTCCCCATGGAGACCCTGCCAGTGTTGCTGTGCCTGGGGTCTCTGACGCTGTGGCACTGCTGGGCCAGGTCATGGTGACACATCTTGGGGTGAACCCCTGTCCCCTGCTTTCCCTGCCCCCTTTTTCCCACCACAGCCGGGGTCCTGGTCCACAGAGGAGAGCATTCCCACTGGAGATCAATGCTGGACCAGGGACAATGACAGCCACCCTGGTCACCCACTCATGGATAACCCGTGGGATGAAAATGTGTCTGCTCCAGCCATGTGGGGCTCTGCTACATGGGGAGAGCCACTGGGAGTCGTAAGACATCCCACTTCCCTAAAAAAAATCTGTGGATAAAGTGATGCTGAGATGAGGCTACAGCACTGGGAGGAATGAAAGGGTTTAATGGATCCTGTTTTCCTAAAAAGCCTCTGGATAAAGCGGTGCTGAGAGGATGCTGTGGCACTGGAAGAAAGGAAGGGGCTCTAATAAACAGAGTGATCCCAATGGAAGCACTTTGTCCTGCTTGGAGAGAGCCAGGCAGTGCTGATGCACAGATAAACACTGTCCTTCACGTGCCACATGTCCCTGGCCCTTCCCAAAGGCACTGTCCCTGCACAGGTGCTTTGGAATGTGTGGGGATGAGCTCGGAGGACTCAGCCACCCCACTGTGCCCTGTGGTTTCCTTCTGAAACGCCACAGGAAGCCTGGGTGGCACTGGGACATGCCAGTGTCCTCAGGGCAATGCTGTGGCTGTCCAGAGCCTGTGGCCACGGTCTCACCCTCGTGGGTGGGGACAAACTGGTTTGGGAATGCTGGTGGTGGTGAGCAACACCCTTTTGGGGCAAGACCTCTGTCTTTATTGTGGGTTTAGCACTGCTCTGCAAATAACAGAGAATGGCATCGCCTGGATTTGTGCAGCACAAAATCCTCCTTTGTTTACAGCTTCCGAGAGCAGAAGAAATCCCCCCCGAGATAAACAGGGGCAGAAAGACGCCCGGATCCTCTCCATTTCCTCTAGAAAACTCACACTCCTCGCTGGCACCCCCGGCCTCACACCCCGCAGCACACGTGGCTCCCGAGTGAGAACAGCCTTTGTTCGTGCCCAGCCTTTGTTTACTGCCCGGCCATCCCGAGGAGACATCCCACAGACAAGGGCAGTTTATTCCTCTCCCCTGATAAAGGCTCATTCATCCTCCCAGGGGGCTCGCTGTCATCTCTGCAGAGCTCCCACAGCAGGGCTCTGGGTTGTTTTCAGCCTGGCGCCAGTTTTGGGAGAGGGTTTGAGTAAAAAAAGTGCAGAATGCAAGAGAATATTACAGGAGTTTGGTTCACAAATTAATTTCTCAGTTATTGCTGCTTTTTCTTATTGATTATCTGGAGGTATCTGTGGGGCATCACCCGAGCCAAGCACGCTCGTGTCTGTGAATGAATGACAGCAAATTCCCTGCTCATCCCCTTTTGGAGGATCCTACTGCATTTGGGCTGGATATATGCACCCTCTAACTTGGAAAATAAATAATATCATCCCTTGGGTACAATTCCTGGGTTCTCATGGACAATACTGAACACAAGCCCAGACCTGAAGAAGTACTTTTGCACCTGCAAGATCCCCTGATTTCTCCAAATATATCAACAGTCCTAATAAAAACTGTTGCCTCTCCATACAAACCTTTGGAGTCTTATCTAGTATTTTCCATAAACCTGGCACATTCTCAGCCAGCCCGACTCTGCTGATTTACAGTGACCCTGTTTTTGCCCCAAAACGAGCAAATACTGATTTATTTCTGTCAGAGCACCAGAGCCATAAATACATTTCCCAACGCAGATGATTTCCTTCCCCATCACAGGTCAGAACAGGATATTCATGATGCTGTAAATTCTTCAGAGTAGCAATCTGGCTGTAATATTTATCTGCAGTGAATCCAGCCCCCTTTTTGAGCTCTGATGCATAAATCAACACCCCTCACAACACCTGATTCCTCTTCTGCACAGCCTGGGCAGCAGTGGGGTGAAGGTTTGGTGATGGATGGTCCAAATTAGAAGATTCTGGTGGGCAGCACGGGCAGCTGGAGTTGTTACCTGGCTGGACATCACTAAACCCCCTTTTCCCACCTCTGGTGCCTGCAGACACCCCTCAGTGAGAGGCTGGGGCAGCTGCTGTGTTGGGAAATCACAATGACCCAAAGGATGTGGGTCTGTTCTGCAGATGTCCCAGAAAAACCTAATAACCTCGATTCTGCCTGCGGGATTAAAAATACTTCTCTGCGTTCAAATGTGCCACTTTGTTAATTCCTGTGGCCTGGAAGAAGAGTCTTTCTCTTTGCATTTTCTTGCCTTCCCTGCTACGTCTTGTCAATGCCTTGTGACACCATGAGGGAAGGCAGGAAATTCTCTGTGACTTGGAGGTGTGCTTGGGTGAGCTGCTGACTGCTCTGAAAATGGATCCAGAAATCCTCACCCCTCGCTTCCAGCAGGAGAGCAACATCATGTGCCCCTAGCCTTGTGCCTTTTCCCTCCATGTCTGCCTGCTTGGAGCCAGAGAGATGCCCAGGGAAGGGGATGCCCAGGGAAGGGGATGCTCAGGGAAGGGAATGCCCAGGGAAGGGGATGCCCAGGGAAGGGGATGCCCAGGGAAGGGCATGCCCAGGGAACGGGATGCCCAGCATGGGGGATGCGTGGTGCAGGTGTCCCAGCCTGTCCCCACGCCAGGAGCTGTCACCACAGGTACACCAGCACACCTGCCACACCTCACACCAGCAGTGACCCGACTGCTTGGTGTCTTCACCTGGTGGGTGGCAAAGCTGTGAAGGCCAAGGGACACAGGGTGGCATGTCCCAGGGCTGGTGTGTGGGCTGGAATGGGTCCCATCCCTGGTTTGCTGCCCAGGCTCACCCCAAGTCCTACTGCCCAGGCAGCTGCTGCTTGGATTGCCCTGAGGAGGGGCTGCC